GAAGGAAGGAGGAGGGATCGGTTACCAAATGTTTTATATATATATATATATATATATATATATATATATATATATATATATATATTTATTAGTTATTTATTTATTTATTTTATTTTATTATTATTACTATTTTATTTTCCCCAATTGTTACAGAAACGTAATGCTATCGTTCTATCAATCCTAACGCTATTGTTCTATCAATCTATCACAAACCTATCCCTTTCTACCCGTAGCCTAACCGTATTCTTCCATCAATCTCTCTTATCCATATCACTCTGGTATGTAACCTAACCTAAATGTTTCATGAACGTATTTTACTCCTATCGTTACAGTTCGTTTTGTGCATCCATCTCGTATCCTATCTCAAACATATAATTGAACACATCATATCGTAATTATTATCAAACAATTCACATATTATAACATATACATAACAAATAAGAAGAATATCGATCCATAGACAATTCACACATATCAATATATATGACACATGCAAAACCACGGGGCACGTGTCAATAGAAAATATAACCATGCCGATAGTAAGGTCACTTACCTGGTTAGCTTAGGTTGATGCTCCGTCGTTATCCTTAATGAAAGTCCATTGAAATCCTAGTCAGCCTATGTGAGCCCATGACATCAGTTTCAGGTTTGAACTCTACCACATTATTTCTCTAATTTACATTGGTCCATTGTTAAAAGTTTTGAAATGTTATATTATCTATAATTATATTTTTATTAAAAATCTTATTTTTCATTGTTACTATTGTATAAGTAAGTGTACACAGCTATTTCAAGTTGTTCTGGGATTTACTACCTTTGTATTTACCTCTCTCTCCATATTTAGTCTGTGGTTTTTAATTCCTTAATTTTTTTAGCCTTTATATTACAAATGTCTAGTGGATCTCTGTTTCAAATCTTTCTATTCTGTTGATTCTTCTCCAAACAAGAACCACCTATTTACAAATTTCATTAACCACTGAATTTAGTGAGCGGCGCCAAATCTTTCTATGGATTGCTTCTTTCGCGTCTTTCGCTGTCAAAGTGCCTATGGTACCAGTTCATATTTGGTTACTCGAAGCTCATGTGGAGGCACAGGATCGGTCATCTTGGCAGGAATTCTTTTAAAATTGGGAACCCACGAGTTTTTAAGATTTTCTATACCCATGTTTCCCGAAACCACACTATCTCAGTGTTTCAAGTTTTATTGGTCATTCTATTTTTAATCTATTCATTTGGTTACTGATCAAAATTTAATCTAATATTGCTAGCTAGAATTCATATAAATGATAGACATTTAGTTTCTAACTCAAAGCTAAACCATTCTAATAATTAAATGGAGATCTAACTATAATTAGTTGTGATTTCTAGGATAAAAGAAAACGAAGAGATGAGACTATTATTGTTTTCCTGTTTCTTTTTTTTTTTTTTGCAGGAACGGTTACTTTCTTGGGTGAGGATGGGTTGAGGAGAGATAATTCTCAGAAGAGATGAGAGGTCAGCCGAGAGATCTAATATTGCTAGCTAGAATTCATATAAATGATAGACATTTAGTTTCTAACTCAAAGCTAAACCATTCTAATAATTAAATGGAGATCTAACTATAATTAGTTGTGATTTCTAGGATAAAAGAAAACGAAGAGATGAGACTATTATTGTTTTCCTGTTTCTTTTTTTTTTTTTTGCAGGAACGGTTACTTTCTTGGGTGAGGATGGGTTGAGGAGAGATAATTCTCAGAAGAGATGAGAGGTCAGCCGAGAGATCTAATATTGCTAGCTAGAATTCATATAAATGATAGACATTTAGTTTCTAACTCAAAGCTAAACCATTCTAATAATTAAATGGAGATCTAACTATAATTAGTTGTGATTTCTAGGATAAAAGAAAACGAAGAGATGAGACTATTAAGAGATGAGACTATTATTGTTTTCCTGTTTCTTTTTTTTTTTTTTGCAGGAACGGTTACTTTCTTGGGTGAGGATGGGTTGAGGAGAGATAATTCTCAGAAGAGATGAGAGGTCAGCCGAGAGAAGTGGGAAAATGTTGTTTTTTAGGATAGGTTGTTTTGCATTGGATTGTTTTTACTGCCTTCGAGGAGGGGCTTGGCTCCTTTTCTTTAAGAGTTCTTTGTTCGATATTTGAGGATTTACCAATCTATTGGCACAACTAAGTTTAGAGCATGGCTCTGATACCATGTTAGACGAACACGACTCTCCACAATGGTATGATATTGTCCACTTTGAGCATAAGCTCTCATGGCTTTGCTTTGGGCTTCCCCAAAAGGCCTCATACCAATGGAGGTAGTATTCCTTACTTATAAACCCATGATCACACCCTAAATTAGTCGATGTGGGACTTCCATCATCCAACATTACTTTTGGGCCATCCTTAAGATATGTTTAGTAAGTTACAGTTGGGAAGGTTTGAAGTGATTTTAATGAGTTTTGAAAATCAAATTTATCATGCTTAACTCTTTCTTGTATAAGCAAGGAATAGTACTAC